TCAAAAAAAAAAAAAAAAAAGAGAAAAGTTTGCTTTCCCACATCTGCTCCTTAGGAAAGAGTTTATTACTGACTCAGAAAATCAGGATTAATGCAAGGAATGGAAGAAACCAAGAACCCTACTAAACTCATTCCCCCACCTAAACTCCTAAGTAAATCCTTTTCTTACTGTTGAACACTTGTACTAATGGGTTTGGAAAGATCAGATTTAACTTTATTTCTTCCAAGCCTAAGGGAAAAAGAAGACTTCTTTGTATGAGCTGGAAGTGGGAGATGGGGGGGGAGTGTATTTTTGAATCATTCAAAGCATAGCTGCTGAGAAGAGCAAGAAACCTGTCAAAGTAGTTAGGAACCATCTGCTGTGGTCTGACCCTGCTCCCCCATTCATATGCTAAAATTTAGTTGTCAAGGTGATGGTATTAAGAGGTGGGACCTTTAGAGGTAATTAAATAATGAGGGCCAGCCCTCATGAATGAAATTAGCACTGTTACTAGAGTTTGGAGGGAGCTGCTTCCTTGTCCTTCAGCCATGTGAGGATGCAGCAAAAGTCATCACCTATGGAGCAGAGAACGAAGTCTTTTACTAGATACCAAAGTCTACTAGCACCTTGATCTTAGACTTCACAGCCTCCAAAACTGTGAGAAATAAATCTCTATTATTTATAAATTATCTATCTAAGATATTTCATTAGAGCGGTCTAAGCAGATTAAGACAACATCTAATAGAAGGAAGCCATTTATTACTGCAAATTTACTGCTAAAAACCAAAGCTTGGTATGGATCCTCTGAAATGCATGAAAAATAGGGTAGGGAAAAAGGGCACCTATTTTATCTTTCTTTCTTTGCAGGAAACTTACTTGGCTGTTACTTTTCATTCTCTGTTCCCTGGGAAAATGCAATGAAAGCAGCATACAATGTTAATTGCTGAGAAAAAAATTACCTGTTCAGTGTATCTCTCCCTTGATCCTGCACACATTCACTGTGGAAAATCCAGCTATGCACTCAGAATTACCACACTTTGACCTCAATTCCAGTGACCACTGCCTCCTCTGTATTTGCATCCCCCACACGCCGGACTGAGTATCCTAACCACCTAAAGCTGCTCCACATTAGGACCCTTGAACTCTAGGAACCTAGTCCCTGACCACAGGTGCACATCTTCTCAGGCCTTTCTTTGATGACTCCCTGCACTCACAAGTGCAGAAGTCAAACAAAATAACCAGCTCAACTGGGGAATAAACCAGGTGTACTGCCAGATGATTTCCACTTTCTGAACCAGTGAAGTAGCTACCCAATCAATCACAATCCAACCATTATCACTTCAGACTGTTTTGATTCAATTTCTATTGACTCACCTGCTTTTTTATTTCATAGATCTCTGGCCTCAATGCCCTATTTTCTCTAGGCTGGCAATCTAACTACTTCATCAAAATTCTCAGTTTCCTTGTAACTTTGTAACTTAATCCTCCTATGGCACACACCAAGTAACCTTCCTCTCTCTATAGAAATGTCTATGGCTTATCATCTGAAGAAGCTCAGAAAACCTTGTAAACTGATATTACTCAAGTTATAGCTTCCAATTCCAGGGGGGCAAACCTTCATCATTCCTTCTGCTTGTTCTTAGTCAGCACCTCACCCTTACCCAACCTGGCAGCACTTTCCTCAAGCCCACACCACTCATACATAGCTTGCTCATTTGCTCCCTCCCTCCCAATTCAGTTCCCACTTTCCTCTCAAGGATCCAGGATCTGGTCCTATCTACTTCTGCAGCCTCCTCAAACTCCAAATTAACCTTCTCATAATACTGAACTGCTTACAGTCCCCCATGCAACCAGGGTTAAAAAAACAGACTCTTGACCTAGGTTCAAGTTCTAGTTCCACTGTTTTGTGACCTTGGGCAAGTCACGTAACATCTTTTAAATTAGGTGTTCTCATCCATGAACTGAAGATATAACTGCACCTTCTTGGCACACTAATATGCCAAAAAAAGTTAGATGCTGCTGCTGCTTGTGCTCCTCACATTGCCTACTCTGCCTGGAATGCCCTTTCTCCCTCTTTGCAAACTTCACTGGCTAACAAGTGACACTTCTCTTTTAAAATAATTCAGATGTCATTTTAAGGAAGGTTTCAGCCAATCCTCACTCTAACCGCACCCCCCATCCTTGTCTAACTTAAGTGCCTCCTTTCTCTTTCCCAGTACGAACTGTGAGCAATCTGAAGGCAAGAAACACCCCCCCACACACAATATTTTCCCCATTTCTATATCTCCTAGAATCTGCTACAAAATAGACAATTTTTCAACTAAAGACAAATTGTAAAGTATACCTCTATGTTATCTTCAAGGATACAACTTTCTTACCACTGTGATGCACGAGAGCCCCATGCTCTATCTTCTTTTTCATGTCATAAATGTGAATTGTTTCATCTTTGCTCCCAGTGACTACAAAACGACTATTTACAGCTACTGCTGACAGGGAGGCAGTGTGGGCATGGTGAGTGAAGTCAGCTACAGGAGTCCATTTCTGCTGAAGAGGAAAACATACAATCACTTGCCACAGTCACATCACAGTTCTCCAAACAGATAGATGGTCCTACGTTTCATGACAACTACCAATGGGCCTCACAAATAGAGAAAAGCAATGTAGTGATGTGTAGATTAACACAGAGGACTTGAGAGTTGAATAAGGAAGGTAAAGCAAGAAGGTGGCAAGGCAACACACTGAGTATCATAATTCCAGACATGATTGCAGACTAGACAAGGGAACTTTTACATACTGCCCAAATAACTCTTTAATGTACTCTTTAATGTATGGACTTATATGTGAGACTTCCACATTATTTATCCTTTCAAATGTTCAAATTTTTATTTGAATGTATTCTTTCAAATAACATGTGCCTACCATGTACTCAGCACTATTTCAGGCAATTGATACACAGCAGTGAAAAAAGATTTCCATTCCAGTGGGAAAGAAAGAATATAAATTAATATAAAGTCACACAGAAATATGTATAATGACAAAGTCCTTATACAAAGGAAAAAAAAAAAAGGCTGGGTATGGTGGCTTATGTCTGTAATCCCAGCACTTTAGGAGGGCAGATTGCTTAAGGCCAGGAGTTTGAGACCATTTCAGGCAGCACAGCAAGACTTGACTCTACCAAAAATCAAAATTAGCCAGGCGTGATGGTGCACGCCTGCACTTTCAGCTACTCAGGAAGCTGAAGTGGAAGGATCACCTGAGCCCAGGAAGTCAGGGCTGCAGTGAGCCATAATTGTAGCACTGCACTCCAGCCTGGGCAATAGAGTGATACGTTGACCTCAAAAAAATTAAAAATAGAGTAAGGGTATGTTTCCACTAATACCATCATATGCCCTAGAGAATTACCAATGATGAGGTCTCAGAAACTCTACATTTATTGCCATGTAACTTTTGGATTGGCAAGTGTGATTGGATGAGTGCAAAGAATGACAACAAAACACACACCCACTCCTAAAACTGAAGAAACTGCATCTAAAATCATTCACAAAACAAACCAAAGAAAAAACCCACCAAACTTCTTTGTACACAATTAAAATATGTCAGCACAAAGTAGGTCCTTAATAACTACAGCAAAGGATAGTTCCGTCACTTAGGACCAAGAGGGCCTCTTTTGAGTCAAGGCATAACATTCTTGAGGAGGTGTTATGGCCTTAAATAAAAGAATAACCTTTGTTTGGCCAGGTGCAGTCACTCAAGCCTATAATCCCAGCACTTTGGGAGGCTGAGACGAGAGGATTGCCTGAACCCAGGGGTTCGAGACCAGCCTGGGCAACTTGGTGAGATCTCGTTTCTACAACAAATCAAAATAAAAATTAGCCAGGCATGGTAGCACGTGCCTGTAATTCTGGCCACTTGGAAGGCCGAGGTGGAAGGACCACCTGAGCCCAGCAGCCCAGCAGTTTTGAGTGTGCCACCCCAACTCAAAAAAAAAAAATAACCTTTGTTGATTCATGTTACAGAAGTAATGTTGGTTATTCAGGCTTTAGAAGCTGTGTTAGGTGGTAGTTAAAAGCTTCGAATGTCAAAGACACCTGGGGGTTCTTGATATTTTTAGTCAGCTCTGCCAATTATTAGCTGTGTGGCTTTGAGCTGTATGGCTTTAAGAAGTCACTTATCTACAAGGAAACTTCCAATCCCTCATCATTAAAATGAGACAACTGTATCTGCCTCAGAGAACTGCTATGAGGAATACTGCATGTCCTGAACACAGCAAGTTAATTTTACTACAAAGAAAACACATTCAATAGTATCATCTTTGAATATTTAAAACATATCACCTTTCAGCCAAAGGACAGAAACAGAAAAAACTGAAGCAGAAAATAAACAAAAGCAGTAGGTCAAGTCAAATACTCACAATTTTCTAGTTAATTCCAGACTGACACCTAGATTTCTTCATAAGTACTGTACTCAATAAAACAGGTTTCTAAGAGATACTTAGAATTGTTCAGGAATAAAACTGCCTTCTAAGCTAGAAGGCAGGAAATCAGATTTCTATTTTTGAGTATAGTCATATCTACATACTTAACTACTAATAATTAACTTTTTTATTTACGTATCCAGTAAAATACTTCTATCCCAAGTATTTGTATCCTCAATTTTCCACCTCTAATGTAGGGACTAGAGCAGGATTCATACCTCTTTGCATTTTCATCGCTGAGCTCACAGAAAGTTCCCAACAAATAATGAATTGGTATCAATGTCTTCATATATAAGAGGTTTATCCTAATCGAACGCTAACAGTTGGTAAAATTATAGGACAGAAACTCAGTGAAAGAGTGAGTTGTTCATTAAATTCTAAATACCTACACTGGCTGTCAACTTATGGGTGAGATCCTTAAACCCACAACTCATCTGTCCGTGTGCAGAAATGCCCGTTTCCTTCATACAGATACGATCTCACTTTGGTAAAATGCCTATTCCATCTTTTAAAAGGTTAGCTTTTTACTTAAGTCCCCTGAATTTGGCACATCAATTTATCCACAGAGCTCGGATGGTAAGCAGAAGGCTCTCTAAGGTTTACCTCTGCCGTGTGGGAACCAAACCTGACCTTCCCCGCCCCTCCTGCCACGGTCTCTAGGCGCGCGTATCTCACTTCGTGGTCGCCACTTGCCTCGGGCTCTCGGTGTACAGTGAACCCAAAAAGGACCTGTTCATAGCAACCAGCGACCAGCTCCATCCAGCACCGCACGTGTTTCTTCCACGAGCCCCGCTAAGCGCAGCGGAAGTGATGGAATCGGATGCAAAAAAAAAAAAAAAAAAATGCCGGTCTTTTTGCCCCGGCGCTCAAATTATACGTCATGACCACAGGGATGTCTTTCTAGTGCCTGTATCCCTGGGAATGGTTGCAGCACTGGGAGCTTCCAAAAGGAGAAAAAGAAAGGAGCCACACGTCGAGGTTCTCATTGCAAGAAGAAAATTGGGGGCAAGCAGGCATATCCTAAGAAGCCGTGACCTCGGCGCGTCTGAGAGGAGAGGGGCAGGACATCCTCTGCGGAAGTCCGCCCCATTTCCGTGACGTCAGCGGAAGGGGCCGAGCCAACCTCCGGCTAGGGCGGGAGGTGGCTACGGCGCTGGTGTCGGGTCGTGTTGTATTAGTCGTTGTGGAGCACATTTAATCAAGAACTGCGAGTCGGCGGTAGGATTTAGGTTTAAGTGCAGGAAGCAGTGGGACGAGCCTTTCTGTCGTACCACGGCTAGGAGGGGTGGGATTGGGATTTAGGGTTCGCGGTTACCTGCTCGGACGGCGTCCGCCTCGGCGCTGCAGCGACAAGCGTGTTCTACGAGACAGCTTGGGCCCGCGAAGTCCGCTTCCCGCGTTCCCCCTGCACGCCTTCCCCTCCATTGCTTCACGTGTGTAACTGTGGGGTCAGATTGGCCAGCGGCGAGGTACATCTTGGGGAGGGAGGAGGACAGGCTGATGAGGAAGAAGGGCTCACCCTTGGTGAGCGTTCTGGAAGGAAATCTCACGTTATTCCCAGTTTCTCCTTTCTTCTGACCCCCGGTGTAGGGGCACAGTCAAACGTTAAGGAAAGCAAAGATAGCCCTTGGCATTTGAAATTTTCATTTCTGTGCAGAGATTCAGAAATGTGTTGGAAATCATGTTTTCTTACATAGCTCTTGGATCATATAATTCTCATAAACGCCATAGCAGGTTAATTTGACAAGCAGGAGTTAGATGGCATACGTCGCTGTCGAGGCTTCAACCCCCATTTGAACAGTCCTTTAGCGCTTAGATCCTTTGGTTTCCAAGAACTTTTGTCCTCTGATGTCCTGAATTGTCAGTACTTTTTGTTGTTTTGATTTTTTATAGAAACGGAGGTCTTGCTGTGTTGCCAAGGCTGGTCTTGAACTCCTGGCCTCGAGCAGTCCTCCCGCCTCGACCTCCCAAAGTGCTGGAATTACAGGCGTGAGTCACCGCGACCACGCCATTATATTTTTAAATCAATGCCCGCCGGGCTCGGTGGCTCAGCCTGTAATCCCTCGCCTTGGGAGGCTGAGGTGAGTGGATTGCTTGAGCCCGCGGGTTCAAGACCCGCCTGGGCAACTTGGTGAGACCTCATCTCTACAATAAAACAAAAAGTTAGCCGGATGGCCGAGAGCGGCCACTGCACTCCAGCAGTGCTCCAGTCTGGGCGACAGAGCGAGACTCCAACTCAAAAAGAAAATGCCCGTTTGCAGAAATGATTTCACTTTGGATGCTTTGCTTATCGTTGCAGCGCACGAAAGGCTTTGTCTTCTGCCACGGTTGGCAGCTCCACGTGTGAGGACTCCTCAGACACAAATGCTGGAGTCAAACTGATCCTCAGGTGTGAGGACTCCCCAGACACAAATGCTGGAGTCAAACTGATCCTCAGCCTAGTGGAAACCATTGTACCTGTTTACTGTTCTGCAGTAATTCTTTCACTTTGCTAGTTATTTTCATTATGTTACAAAAAAGTCAAAACTTTTAAGATTATTTTCTCTTTACAGTTTAACTATTTCCACCAGAGAACCATTGAGGTCAGAGGGGTGTGACCCTAGGCATGGGACAAAGAATAAGTAGGACATTTCTTTAAAGTCTCATATATTTTTTAATGTGACTTCCTGCATTTTATTCCACAACATACTTATTTTAATGCAAAAGTAATGTTCTCTCATCCAAAAAGAAAAAAAAAAACTTTAAATATAATGATTTCAAAACCACATGCTTTATGTGTTCTGTTGCTTCTAGAATGTCCTGGGTACCCAGCCTCATTACCCCAGAGACATCTCAAAACTTACCGTTATAGCAAGATAATTACCATGTTCAGTTTCTATTACCAGAATGTCACACTTAAACCAGCTGAAGTATCTTTGCTCCAACCAGGAGTTTTAGAATATAGTCGGTTCTACAATGAGCACCATAAATGTAACTCGAAGTGGTTTTACTTTAAAAAACAAAACTGTTAGAAATAATACAACCAATCGTAGAGCTCAGAGAATTTAGCATCTAGTCCAGGTGTTATTAATTTGGGAGTTCATGGGTAAGGCTCAGGGGTTTTGAATCCCAAAAATTATAGGCAAAATTGTGAGTAAAATTTTTGGAGGAAAGCATTGATAAAAGCTGATTACAGTTTCAAGATAAGTAGTGCCTCATTAAGATTAAAATGCAGCCAGGCGGGTGACTCATGCCTTTAAACCCAGTACTTTGGGAGGCTGAGGTGAGAGGATTGCCTGAGCCCAGGGATTCAAGACCAGCCTGGGAAATATGATGACACCTCTACGTCTCTACGTAAATCAAATAATTAGCTGGGCATGGTGGCACACGCCTGTAGTTCCAGCTACTTGGAAGGCTGAAGTGGAAGGATCGCTTGAACCCAGCAGGTCAAAGCTGTGGTGGCTGTGAGTGTGCCACTGCACTCTAGCCTGGGCACAGAGTGAGACTCCAACTCAAAAAAAAAAAGATTAAAATGCACCAATTTGTTCAGGAGTGGTGGCTCACACCTGTAATCCCAGTACTTTGGGAGGCTGGAGCTGGAGGATTACTTAAGGCCAGGAGTTTGAGACCAACCTGTGCAACATAATGGGACCCCTTCTCTACTGGAAAAAAAAATTCAGTTTTAAATGCTGAAATATGTCTGGAAGAGTGACTTTCAAGACTACACAACTCTGCCTTCCAAGTAGCTGGAACCACAGGTGTGCACCACCATGAAAAAAAAAAAAGACTACACAGCTGAGTAACAATAGAACCAGTTCTGCTGCTGCTTTAACAGAGAAACAACAGCATTTCATTTTATTCGTGGTGGCATTAGCTTCAGAACTTGCTCAGATTATGGGTTTTCATTGTCTGAAGAAAAACAAAATACAGAATTATATTCCTGTTCAACCGGATTTGAACTGAGCATACTCTCTGTAAATCTTTCTATTCTCTTTCCAAACACAGGATATAAAAAATAATTTAACCTCATTTTAGTGAAATCTGCAGTTATCAGAAAACAACCAATTGTTGAGAGTTCACTAATCAACACTAAAACATGACAGGATTTGTTTTCAGTTTTGCTTTTAAATTATTGATTGAAAATCTTCTTGCACTTGAGCCATATACTGATTTATTCATTCATTCAACAAATATTTATTAAGTTGCTTGGCTTTGTTTGGTTTGCTACAGAAAAAACTGTTTTTCTTTTTGGGTGGTAAGTGAATCTCCAGGATACAGTGAAGAAAAATCAGCTCTATTAGAAATATGAGAGGTTAGGTGTGGTGGCTCAAGACTGTAATCCCAGCATTTTGGGATCTTGAGGCAGGAGGATCAGTTGAGGCTAGAAGTTCAAGACTGGCCTCTATAAAAAATATATACCACGATTCAAATATCCCTGAGAAATTCCCCTCCTTTCTCAATGTTACAGGTAGCTACTCTGTTAAATTCAAGCCTATAGAAGTTGCCTGTGATTGTAGTCCCAGAGAACTTTGGTTCTCTTTGTATTTTTCAGAGCTAAGGGGAGTGGAGATAGTGGTCTCCTTCCCTGGACACTGTCCTATAGTCTGCCCTGATATTAATTTGTTTCATCTGCTTCATGGGAGTAACCCAGGTGAAACACAGAGGTTTGCATTTGGAGCTTTTAGATAGCAAATCAATACTTCTGAACTCTTCCTTGTCACTGTCATCTTTTGGGGGGGGCGGGGATTTTTAGTTTCAAAAGCTTGGATAGCTTTCATATCCAGGTCATAGCAAAATCAGTACTCGTATAAAATACCTTACCATACTTTAGTTCCCAAAAGGTACCAAAAAACAAAATTAACACTTCCATTGCAGGAAATGTATGACAAAAATAATACAAAATTAAAAGGTGATATTGATTTCCTAAGATACACCATACTCTTTTTTTTTTTTTGAGTTGGAGTCTCACTCTGTCACCCAGACTGAGCGCAGTGGCCGCTCCCGGCCACCACAGCCTCAACCTACTGGGCTCCGGTGATCCTTCCGCCTCAGCCTTCCAAGTAGCCGGAATTACAGGCATGTGCTACCACGCCCGGCTGATTTTTTTGCTGTCCAGGCAGGTCTCGAACCTGCAGGCTCCCAAAGGCACGGGATTACAGGCTGAGCCCAGCTCGATACAGCGTACTCTTTACCACTAAGGTCCACAGGTCCAGGCCGCAGGATGGAGTGAGAGGCAGCGCCCCTCCATCTGACTCTGGGTGACGTGGTCATCAAATCAGCACCTAACACCGCTCTGGCCTGAGACACTGCACACTGCTTAAAGAACTAGAGCTCTGGAAATAGTAAACAGGAGAGTGATTTTTGGGGGGATTTGATTTTATTTTTATTTTTGAAACATTTATTTTAAAATTGTGGGGTACAGTTAAGGGTTAGATGTTGGGAGCCAACATCTATAGCTACGTGGCTGAGGCCTGTAAAGGCCCATCTGGAAGATCGCCTCTGACATAGGATATCAGTTATACCTATAATATTGGCGTGTGATTAGTGACCAGTGTGCATACATGGCAGTAAAACTTATAAGTAAATCCCTATACACCTGATGGAAAGTGCATAGCAGAATTATTTTTCTCTGTCTTTCTAAGTTTTACTTCTTTCTAGATATTTTTTAACTTCTATTTCCTGGTAGACTGGGTAGTCAGCTCTTGTTCCCGAAAGCTGTTTCCCCTAGGGCTAAAATTAGAAACTAAATAGTTTTGT